ACCCACTACTTTTTGGAGCTTTATACCTAAACAGTGACAACCTGAGACTGTAGGTGGTGCCGGCTGAAGCTTCTCTGTTGCCACAGTGAATGACTGGTGAAGGTAGTGTGCATACAGGCCTACAAAGAAACTTCAGGTAAGCAGAATTATTTGAGACAGCCAAAGTCTTGTTTACTCTAAGCTTTTCAATTAACTAAGTTCTAAAGAATTTATACTTGTGAATTCATTTTTTTTCCCTCCTTGCAAACCCTTGGAAGGAGCACTCACCAGAGTCCCAATATTGAGAACCAAGTTCTCAAAAAATTGTAGGTCCTTAGAGCCAGAAAGTCCATTAAAGCCAGCATGTGTTATTTTTAACTGGTAAGCTATTCAAATCCTTTCCTTGAATGATAAGTTATTGACATACATGTACCTTTCCCTGCCTCCTTCCAGACACCCATAGAAACACTGTGATTAAAGATAAGAATCAGCATTAAAAAAAAGATGGGGGCCAGTTGAGTGGCGCGTTGGTTAAGAGTTGGCTGGGGACGCCAGCTCTGAGCAGCAGGGCCCTGGTTTGGACCCCACATGAGGGCCAGTGATGCTGCGCCCTCTACAGCTAAGGTGGTGAATAACAGCTAGACCTAGAGCTGGGCTGCCATGAGTCACCGGCGATGGCGTAGTCTGCAGTGGGGCTGGCCAGCAGCTGGCGTGTGCTTTGGTGAGCCGCGGTGAGCCGCCATCCAATGGCCTCGGGTGAATGCCTCACCTGGGAAGAGCGCAATGATAATACCAACATGGGCCAGTGAAGCGACATCCTCCACAACTAGACTGAAGAACAAAAGGACAGCAACTTATCTGTTCCCCTTCCCCAATTCCCCAACGCTGTTTCCCTCCCACAATTCCCCAATAAAATCTTAAAAAAAAAAAAAAGATGGAAGGAGGACTGACTCTGGGTGGTGAACACACAATGCAATATATAGATAATATATTATAGGATTGTACACTTGAAACATAATTTTACTAACCAATGTCACCCCAATAAATTTAATAAAAATTTTAAAAAGATAAGAATCAGCATTCTCCTGGCTTTCAAACCATGGTCCTAAAGTGTTTCTTGTCCATTTGCATAGAAAAACCCTTCCCTTTTTGAATGCTGTGCCATGTGGCTAAGATGAATTTTTACCCTTTCCTGTTGCTCTCTGACAAATTTCTCTCTAGCCAACCCCTGTCACATCCTAGTGATGTCTATGACACTGGCAACACCCAGTCCCTTATTGGCTCCTCTGTTAACTTGAAGTTGAAGCCAACAGCCATGTATCAGAACTGACCTACTTCTGAAATCCTGACCTCTGATAGCCTAATTTCTGATCCTAATCTCCTATTCTTTGAATACATTTCCCCTGTCTATAACCATTGCTATTCTTTGACCTCATAAAGTGCTTTCATCCCTTGCTCTCGCCAACTTTTCCCACTTGATTGGTTCCTATCCTCATTTACTTCCTTCTCTCTCCTAGATTCCACAATTTAAATTCAGCTTAAAATGTTTTATTCCCTTGTTCTCAAATACTTTGCCTCTTATCTTATTTTGCTGCTCTACAACTGGAAAAATTTGCTTCATTTCAATTTGTCTTCTCTCCTTCTGGTATGTAGATGCTGAGCTCATACATGTGGATGAATACTACTCCCAAATGATGGTTTCCATCTGCACCTGGTCCTCAGCAGTGCTGGCAATCTCTCCATGTATCCCCAGTGGTCATTTTCTTCCACTAACACCAAACCCCATTCAAACCCTAATAGTTTCTCATAAAACCCTATTCTTTTTTCTTTATACTTTTCTGGCACATTCTCTCACCTTACTCACTTCCAAAAGATGACTTGTTATCTAGTTCTTCCAGAAAATAGGCTTTAAAGGATAACTTGTCAAACTTCCTGCTCTTTTTTCTAACCCCAAGTGCTCACGCCCATATACTTGCAACCACACCTAAACTAAAATTTTCTTTTCCATCTTGTAGAAGAGGTATTCTTTCTGTCCCAAACTGATCCCAACAACTATACTTAGAGACATGGTTGAAGATTAAATGAGTTAATAACATAAATGATTTGAAACAGTGCCTGGTCAGTCGATTTAGCTATTTTTCTTTCCCTTTTCTATCCCCGATTATATTAATTATTGTCCATCTTACCTGCTTTGTGTAGTTAGCATAAATATGCTTAACTCCCTCATCTAATAAGAAATGCCTACCTTTGAGCTCCTGCACCCTCCATCCCCCCTTGATACTTCCACATTCTTCTCCTTCATTTCCTGGCTAAACTCTTTGAAAGACTTCTTTATTTCCTCACATTTCATTTATTCTCTAATCCCCTTAACCTGGTTTCTTCCTCCCTCATTCCATGACATATCTCTCACCAAATCAGAAATCAATTCCTAACTCCAATGCAGTGGCATTTTTAGTACTCATCTCTCTTAGCTTCTCAGCAGTACTTGGCTTTTCTGGTCACCAGCACCTTTAAATAAAGTTTCTCTTATTTTGACTTGTGAGGTACTTCTCCTCCTCTTGTTTTATTACATTGTTCTTTGGCCACTTTTCCCCAGTATCCTCTGATGGCACCTCTTCCTCTCTGATCTTGTTAAACATTTATATTCTTCAACATATTTTTAGGGATGATCAATTATATCAGACCATGTATTGGGATCAGTTTAAACCAGAAACAATTCTACTACCAGAAGGCCCTAGGGTGAGTTGGAAATAGATGTCTCCAATGGATGGGAGGTGAGCCAGGGTCCTGCCATGGAGGGCAGTTGGCTGCAAAATGACAGAAAGTTGGGAGAGCATGTGCTACGGATGATGGCAAGTGGTGGCAGGTAACAGAAGCTATGCACAGTCTCACAATCTTTCTCACATTCCTTTTTAATGCATCCCCTTACATCTTATATATCTGATATAAGTGCTCAAAGTAACCTTCTGTTGGATATTTTCTTAACTTGATTTATTTATTTTTTAGCTGAGCCATCCTGCCACCTGTTGGCAGCTCAGTGGCAGCTCAGCTCAGACCAGGAATCGAACCGGCGACCCTGTTGCTCAGAGCTCCCATTCTTTAGTGAGGTCTTAACCAACTGAGCCACTCGGCCAGCTCCTTTTCTTCTTTACTTGAAAGCTTCTATTAGCAGCCACATTTTCTTCAGACAGTTGACTAAGTCTGGAATCAGAGCAAAGAAAGCTGATACGTAGTCTTCAAGGAAAAGTATCTCAAGAGCCCCATCTCTACACCTCACTGATTCCTTTCATTCATTCACTAAACAAAAGCTCATCGATGTCTACACCATGCTTGATGTAGCACTATGCTTGATGCTTGAGCTACAAGATAGAATAAGACATGTTCCCAATTTCCAAGATTACACTCTTCTGGGAAAACATGCTACAAAGGGTCTGCAGAATGAGCAGAATTATTTGCCATTTGGTCAGCGTACCCCTCATCCCAGACAGTGCTGGAAACATACTGGCTTTTTCTAATACAGGAAAGGGGCATGCGGACTGTTTTTACAGAAGAAGAAACTAGGAGGTTGGATTCCAAGCCTACTGTTTACATGCTCCAAGAAACAGAACTCAGGCAGACATTACTCAACCACACAGAACAAACTACCCAAAGGTTTTATTAAACAAAGAGATTCCATTATGACATAGGTTGTGCCTTACAAAGGTTAAAGACAAACCTGCACCTATTCTTGCATCTTACAGAAATTAAAGATAAACTTACCATTGTTCATCTTTCTTCCTTTTCCCCATACCAATACATTTTCCACAGAAGAAAGAAAACGCATATAAATTCTAGCCTGGGAGGTAGAGGGGGTCTGTCTTCCACTAACAGTTAGAGACCGCCACTCTCTCTGTGGGGTGGCCTTTCTTTTCTTACTTATTCTCTGCTAAATAAACTTACCTTTACTGTAAACTCTATATCTAAGGATGCTCTTTTCCTGTACCTATTCTAGAGCTTTGGTTTGCCTAAAAACGTCAGTGTTGTGTTTATTCAATAGGTTTATTCAAGCAAGTTACATATAGCACCATCTTTGAAGCTGGGGCTTTCTTTAGTTATGTTCCTGTTCTATAGAATGGCCCCCTGGATATATGTGAGAGCTCTCAAAATTTCCTTCAGAATCACACATATACACCATCTATCATCACACTAAACACTTCATACATTTCGTGACTTGATATAATAATCCTCAGGATAACCTACAAAGTAGGTATTATTATCCTCATTTTATTGATGAAGAAAGTGAAGCTTAGAGAGGTTCAAGTTAAGTGACCTACCTAAAGTGACCCAGCTAACAAATAGAGGAGCCAAGGTTTGAGTCCTTGTCTGTTTGACTCCAAAGACCATGTTCTTAATTACTGTGCCTTGTTTTGTTTTGATCCTGGCTATGCACACATACACACTCACAAAATGGGTGCTGGATTTTCTAGGGTTGTTATGATGGGGAAAAAATGATGGCACCCCTATAAACCATCAAAATTACTTTGAATTTCTTGTATTTGTTGGTTTTTTAGAATCTATGGCTACTCTTATATAATGTTTTTAAGTATCATATACTTTATTCAGGTATATGTAATATAAATATATACTATATGGTTATATATATATAGTCAGATATTCATGTGTATAAAATTTGAAGTTCATATGTGTATCTTATTTATATACTGTTTTGTTTCAGAAAGCATTTGAGTTGGGTAAACACACAAGTACATATACACAGATAGCCATTCACCTATCTATCTTTATATTACTAATTTGGGATTATATCACATATTTTCTTGACTTTATATTCATGGACATTTTCTTATGTCATTAAGTATACTTTGAAGACATAATTTTAATGGCTGCCTGGTAATACATTATTTGGATATGCCATCATTACCTTAGCCATTTCTCTATAATAGTTTTGGATCATTTCTAAAGTTACAGTATTATAATACTATAGTGGATTTACTTGTGTTCATATCTTTATAGATATCTATTATTTTTTCTTTGGGATGAGTTCCTAGAAGTGGAATTATTGGATAAAAGGATTTTCTCTATTTTTAAAGTTGCTAGGATATAATTCTTAGATTTTGACAATTTATACTTAGGGAGTATCACTGCTAATCAATAATTTTTCTCTCCTGTGATTCTGTTCCTTAGGAAAAAGAGATCACGCACAATACGGTCTTTAGGATCTTTTCCAGAAAGTCTTTCTTTCATGATGGCTAAAAATACTACTGATACTATGACATCATTGGAAGAAGTGTTTCAATGCCTGGGGGCCTTGAGGAGTATCAGGGATAGTTTCTGAAGAGATGCATTATTTTTCATTTGCACCTGAACAGCTGAAGACATTCACTTCTCAGGCTCTTGGCTTGATTTGAACAAATGGGCTGTGTGGAGATTCGTTTCAGGGTACTTCTCACTGTGGAATTGTAGCAAGATCACCAAGGAGCCCTGAGGTCCAGCTGCAGCCCTGGGCTTTAGTTTCTCATTTGTAAAATATAAGGGTTGGACTAGATAACTGATAAAGCCTTTTACTTCTGACAATGTATGGTGTCCTAGGTGACTTCTCTTTCCTCCTTTTCCTGGACGCCTGTCATATCTCTCCAGGAATCCTAGTTTGTGTGTTTGTTTCCATAGAGCATATTCCTGAGGGAAGGTGGCTGAGGTGCTACACAAGATGTTTGTGCTTCATGAACCCCAGAAGCTGCAGATTCTGTATGAATCTTTGGAAAAGAACATCCCTGAGTCCTTGAAGGTGAGGGCGTAGAGGGTGACCTGGGGCAAGAGGGGTGTTGTGTGAGGAGGATAGATCCAGGGCTCAGAACCTTCCCTGGGCAGATGGGAGTACAAGTCTAACATCAGAGTCTTTCTTCTGGGAAGATCTTAATACTCATATCCATTCACCCACTTCACTTCTTTTTGGGCCTCTTAAATATCTTTTGACTCCCTTCTAGTGCTATCTCTAGTTGATTTCCTTTTCTGCCTCAGGCTATTGCAATATCTCCCTGTTTTCAATATTACCACCCTGCCTGCAACTTGGTAACCAGAGCCATCTATCTGACACAAATATGATCATATCACTCCCTTGTTTTAAAATTTCAGTAGTGGTCCATGTCCAAGGCATAAAGCCTATAGTCCTTAGTTGGGTATACAAAGGTTTATCACAAAGTGCCCCCTGCCTTTTCTACTTCATCTCCCAACATCCCCCTGCTGTATACCACATGCTATGATCATTGAGCCCCTCACAGTTCAGCAGGTATGATAAATTCCACCACACCTTCAAGCATTCACTCATGCTTTTTCTGCTACCTGAAATGACTTGCTCTCCTTCTCTCTTTATTTTGAGAGGAAAAGACTTTACTTATTCCTCAAGACCCAATGCGAATATTATTTCTTCTGTAAGCCTCCTACCACTTCCTAGATAGGTGGTGCATTTCCCGCTTGGGATGCCACACCACTTAGTGCATACATCTGCCAGAGCATGTGTCCCATTATGATCAGATTATGTACTTCTCTATACTTCTACATTTAACTTGAAGGCAGTGGCCATTAGCATATTTATTCACTTTTGAATTCTCTATACTTGACACACATTTGATATTTAATGGGTACCAAATAAATAGTATGGAATGGCATGGTATGAAATGAGAAAATGGGGAAAATGGTATGAAGTTTTAAACAACAAATGAATGAATGTCAGGGTAACCAGTTCCTAATGACTCAGCTATTAACTTGGATTTTTATGGACCCTTACTGGGCCTCTTTGCAGCATACTTTCCAATAAATAGCCCAATGAACCATTCTGGAATAATTAGTTCTATCCTGTCAAGTCTTCCTAACCCCTGATTTTATGTCTCATACCACAGCCAAGATTCGATCTCACAGAAAAACTTCATCCTCTCCTGTTTTGTTTTGTTGCTCTTGTAGGTATATGGTGTCATTTTCAACATTAAAAATAAAAACCCATTCAACATGGAGGTGCTGGTAGATGCCTGGCCAGATTATCAGATAGTCATTACCCGGCCTCAGAAACAGGTAAGAGCACAAGCTACTGAATACCAGGCCAGTCACACTCAGGATGTTCTGTGTGTGACAATGAGGGAGCCGAAGCTGGGGGCTGGAGAGAAGAACCTTGGCACCTCTCATTCTATAGGTTTTGGAAAGGCTGCTTCAGGGACAGGGTAGGTTAGTGAGATAAGGCATGCGAGTAGTCCAAATAGCCAATAACCCATGTCTTGCAAATAACATCAGGATCCCATCTAGTCAATTCTTTTCCATTGAGAGTCTGATCATAGGTGTACACCTCAACGTAGACACCTATAGCTGGAAACAGTTAGGAAATATTGTTCTTTCCCTGTGACTAAATGAACATAACCCAATAATATTTGAATCAGTGTTGGGTTTGAGATTTACATCTTCCAAGTGACTAGTATGACCTTGGGAAGACAGCTGCTTTCTCAACTATAAAAAGAAAAGTTGACAAAATTACTATGTGGGAGAATTGTTAAACAACAGATGAATCATGTATATTTAATAAGAATGTCTTCCCCATCTTCCAGGTTTAGAGAGCATGAGTAGTGAATTCCTTCTTTCCTACAGTAGGGACATTTTACCCCCACCCATTTACATAGTAATCAGGGGAATTAGAATACAACATAACCTACAGTGACCCCCAGGATCCCCAGGAAAGTATCAGCAGCAGAACTAAGCAGGTATGCAGTGGCAGACTTGGCCTTCTACTCCAGGTGCTGTGGTGAGCTCTGGCATGATGGCTCTTTCTAAAAGTAATCTTTATTCACATGCCCACCAAGAGCCAATCACCATGCCAGCCCCAGAGTGCTGGGTCAGAATTAGCTTAGGCGTCCTCTCCTCACAGACCCAGAATCTTGACCCCCGACCATGTTTCCTATACTTCTCTCCATACCAGAGGCACTCTTCTCTTATAGACCCTTAGCACCCACTGTTTCTGGTGTACCTTCCATCCCAGACATTGGGGCGACTTGCTCACCCTCCCAAGGACAGTGGACTCCAGTGCACCATCAGACAGGAACCACCTTCAGTGTGTCAATAGTGATTGATTCTTCAAGGGATTCCAAGGCCATTTTATGCATTTCTCTCAGAAAAAAAACAAACAAGCCAAAAAACCAAAAAACAAAAACATAACAAAAACCAACCAAACAAAAAACCCAAAGGGTATCAAGCAATTGAGTCTCTAGCACTCCAGATGTATGCAAGGTCATTTTGTCAAGTGTGGTGCTATGTAAATATGACTGATGTTTATTATATCAGGAGATGAAGGATGATCTGGATCATTATACCAACACTTACCACATTTTCACCAAAGCTCCTGACAAGATAGAGGAAGCCCTGGCATGCCCTCAGGTTATCAACTGGGAACAAGTCTTCCAGATCCAAGGTAACTGGTATGAGTTAAAAGGCAAAGGTCCCCTGGTTCATTCACAGTAGATATGGAAGAGGTGATGCAGTGCCTGTCTTTCTCCTCTCTCCAGGTTTCCAAGAGAGTTTGGATGAAGCAATAAAGAAGGTTGCAGCTTCAAAATCAGTGCAGGTGGATTACACAAGGACCAAACTCTTTATGATGGAAATTCCAGTGAAACGCAATACATCAAGTAATGGCAAGATGGATATGATGGAGCTAGTTAATATGCCCACAGATAATAAAAATCAAAAGTGAGATTTGACTTTTTGCTTCCCAAATTCCTGATAGAATCATTCAGTTGCCATAAGAGCTAGACTTGAATATATAGGCTTTGAGACTAAATTATGATAAGGTACACAGTTCCATGGGGAAAGGAAGGGAAATACGTTTTCTAATGTTTGCTGACCATGGGCAGGGCCTTCGTTAGATGAGATCCGTTACATATATTAACTCACTTCGATCTCAGAAGAGTCCCCCTGCGAGGGTATCAGACAACATGGTGGCACTAAAAAATCTTTACTAAAACTATTTATTTTTTTGCAAAAATACTACATAATGTAGAAAGTATCCAAGTTTTCTAAGTAACGTGTGAAAATTTGCCCACTTGGATTCCCCACAACCTTCCTGACCAGGTGTAAATATTCTTAACGTTATATACATCTTTCATGCAAGTTCATACAGATACCTTGCATTTATTTTGACAGCTGCATAGATTTCCCTAGTAGGAAGATACATCATTATATATTCCCATATCAACATGTTCTTGATTTATCTCTAGTTCTTCCTTATAATAAAAATTCAGTAACAAATGTCTTCATAAATAGATCATTACACAAGTTGTATAAATATTTCTGAAAGAGGCTCCTTGAATTGAAATGGTTGGATCAAAAAAATATACATTAAGTGAAAGATATTACCAAATTGGATGGTAAGACTTTGATGAATTTAATATGTGATGGCATAACATATGGAAAAACCTAAGTGTCCCTCGGTAGTATCCATTCATTAAGGTATAATCCAAACATTGGAATAATATGTAGCCATTAACAAGAATGAAGCAGCTCTATATGAACTAATAAAAAAAGAATTCCAAAATATATTGCTAAGTGAAAAAAAGAAACAACAAATAAGGTGGACAGAACACTGTGCATGCTATGTACACACCTAAAACTGCATTGAATACCTCTAGATGGTTACATAAATATATTGTATTGCTAGTTGCCTTTAGCGAAGGTAACTGGGCAGTAGATCAGAGAAAGAAGAAATAATTATTGTCAATCTATGTTTTATAGTTGTATTACTAATTCAAAAAATAAATAAAATCTGAATACTCACTCACACATACAATTGATTTAGCTAGCAACATTCAAATATTGCATTGGCCCAGCTGTGTTTCCATGAGAATCTTAACAGAAATGTATGCACAGGGGAAAATGGTAAATGGGGATGGCAATCAGGGATGGAGTACTTGTCCTAAGATGAGTGTTTCCTCTAAGCCCAATGCATATCTTAGTATCTTGCCACTCTAGGTTTGGCTATACCACAGGAGAAGGGCTGGTGAGAATGCTTGAGATCTTTGAGGAATCAGGACCAGGATCAGGTCAGGCATGGAGGAGAGCAAAAAGAAAGCCTTCCATATGTGTAGACAATTTAGTGTCCAGTGACCCACCCACTGGCAAACATACAGTGACTTTGAACCTGACAAATTCCTGAAAACTCTTCCTCCCTGGGGGCGGGTAAAGCTTCTTTGGGATCTTCTACCTGCCCCAACCTCCTCTACCCACAGAGGATGTTATTCTGATTTGGCAGATGAGAAAACTCAGTCTCAGATATCTCATCCAATTAAAATCCTGATTGTTACCACCCCCAAAATCCAATGTCCTCCCCTCTACTGGTGCTTCTTAAACTGCATTTTTAGTACTTCCCTAGAAGTATGAGGTGCTTGGTTTTGGGACGCATGTAGCTATAAGGTGAACACGGCTCTCATCTTCCTGGACATGCATTTTATTGAAATTTCTGTGGAAATAAATATTATCTTGTATATTTTGATATTTTGTGGAGTAGAATTCAAAATTCAGCCATGTGGAGGGATCACTCTGGTCTAATCCTTACTATTTTAGGAATATGTGTTCATTTTCCTCCTCCTTGGGGTATTTGCTTGGACTTTTTTGAGAAATACTGTGCTATGTCACGCCAACTTCATGCTGTCAAATGCATCATAAAGCACATAGGGTTTTGTCCCTCTCAATTTTTTGAGGAGATTTTAAAACAAACATAGAAATAGTACTTTTTTGTGTGTGCTTCTGTTTCCTCCTCTAGGCTGTGGGATCCTCAAGAAAAGGGATGGTGTCATACATATTGTCTGCAATCCTGGTGTTTGGTAAGTGTTAGCTGAATAAATGCTCATTTTTTTCTTGACAGCAAAGGAGACTTTCTGAGCATCAAGTTGGATCCTTCACATGCAAAGCTTGTAAATGAGCAGTGGGACTTTGGAAAAAATGAAAGGAGCTTGAAATATATTGAACGCTGCCTCCAGAGTTTTCCAGGATTTGGTATTCTGGGTCTACAGGGGCTCCCTATCTCTTGGGTTGTGATGGAACAGTCCTGTGAGTTAAGAATGGCTTATACTGTCCCTAAATACCGAGGCCAAGGCAACATGCAACAAATTTGTTATTACTATGTAGAGTATCTTACTCAGAGAAAAATACCATTTTATTTACATGTGGCTGAAAGTAAAGAAAAAAACCAAAAATTATTGAGAATGTTTGGATTTAACATTTCTCTTTGTGGCTGGCATCAATGGCAATGTACCCCCAAGAAATATTGCTGATTGGCGCCAGTGAAAATGCATCAGTACAAATACAAACATGATAATCGACATTAGCACAAAAAGTATCCAATTATCTGGTATCCATGCATCACTTAAGCCCACTCTTACTAGTATTTTTGTCTGTCTTCTCCATAATACAGAAAATTAGAAGCTTGGTACTTTGGTGCTATTCTTTTCCTTTGTGGTGACAGGCATTTTAGAATTAAAAACACTCAATGTCAATCATTAGTGCCAAGATAACCCTTTGAAAGTAATATTTGGTACACATGAGGGGGAGTTGGTGGGATAGGTGAGAAAGGTGAAGGGATTAGGAAGTACAAATTGGTAGTTACAAAATAATCACTAGAATGTGAAATATGGTATGGGGAATATAGTCAATAATATTGTAAAAACTATGTACAGTGTCAGATGGGTACTAGACTTATCAGGGGATCACTTCATAAATTATATAAATGTCTAACCATTATGTTGTACACCTGAAACTAACATAAAATAATATTGAATGTCAACTATAATTTAAAGAAATCTATAGTCACGGGATGTAAAGCACAGCACAGGAAATAGAGTCAATGGTATTGTAATAGCTATGTATGGTGTTAGGGGGGTAGTAGGCTTGATGGGGTGATCACTTTGTGAGGGGTGTGTCTAATCACTATGTTGTTTTGTATACCTGAAACTAATAATAATAAAAAATAAAAGCAATATGTTCTTCTTTGAACACTTCTTTTACAAAAGGATCTTACTTTTTCATGCTTCTATGTTTGAAAATAAAAAGTCTGCTTTGAAAAACGTCTCTCCTGGTAGCCTCCCCTTCCTCTTACAAAGTCTTCTAAAGGACCTTTCAAAAGCCCTCGGCATCCGTGTTTTTTATCCTGGATGCCCTCTAAAGAGCTTTGAGGTACTCTACTGAATTAAAGTATGTGGCTATCAGGGAAAGTTTGTTTTTTCCACTAGCTTTTCATCACAAGGGCTTGTAGGTTGAGTTGTGTGGCTTAACTTCATATTCTCAATATGATTCTTATATCTATGCTGTGTTAGTTTCCTATTGGTGTAACAAATTACCACAAATTTAGTCACTTAAAGCAACAAAAAAATTATTATATTATATTTCTGGTAGTCAGAAATTCAAAATGGGTCTTATGGGATAAAAATCTAAGTCAGCAAGGCCATGTCCTTCTGGAGGTTTTTAGGGGAGAATCCGTTTCCTTGTCTCTCCAGTTGGTAGAGGGTGTCCTCATTCCCTGGCGTATGGCCCCGCATCACACTATCTTTTCTTCCCTTACTTCCATCATCTTCATATAGCCTTCTTCTTTTCTGTATTCAAGTCTCCCTACCACCTTCTTACAAGGACACTTGTGATTACACTTAGAGTCCACTTGGATAATCCAGGTTAGTCTCCTCATTTCAACATCTTAATTCAGTCACCTCTGCAAAGTCCCTTTTGTCATATAATTCAACGTTCAAAGATTCTAAGGATTAGCATCTGGATATCACAGGTAGGTCATTATTTAGCCTACCACATAAAAACATCAAGTTTATGTTCTCCATGAGTAAAGCCACCCATACTGCCAATCTGAGACAGACTAACATTTCTATATTCTAGGTCCAGATTCATGGGAGAAAGAACTTACTCTAGTTTGAGTTCGGTATCTATCTAAAACTCTCTCAACTATGACTTAGAGGTTAAGGTAATATGTAACATTGGCGTTCAGGTCCCATTCATGTAAGGGATTTGAGGGAGAAGGCACCATAAGAAATGTTTAGTTAAACCTAAATAAAATAGAGTCAACACTTCATCTTTAAAATGTCCTTGGTGCTTGAAAATAGGTGCCCACCTAGACTGGTAAAGGATGACGTAGCCAACCTATAACAACCTATAACAACCTATAACAATAGGCCTCTGCCCTAACAGCCCTGTGGCTCTGTGATCATTCTCTGAGCAGTGATAGGCTTCCAGCCACCCTGCCTATACATAGAGGTAGCAACTTAGGAACTCAGCTCCAATCTGGACCCAGCTTTTCCTGCCCTAATTTACATTCCAGGACATGGTGCTTTCTTGTGATTGATCCCTCTGGCAGTCATGGCATATCTTGGCTATATAACAAAAGTAGAAAGCTTTGATTCAAGGTAGTGTCTATCCAAAGAAATTTAAAACACTAATTCAAAAAGATATATGCACTCCTATGATCACTGCACCACTATTTACAATAGCCAAGATATGGAAACAACCAAAATGCCCATCAATAGACGATTGGGTACAGAAATTGTGGTACTTATATACATTGGAATATTACTCTGCCATAAAAAGAATGAAACCTTAACATTTGTGACAACATGGATGCACCTAAAAGGTATTAATGCTAAATGAAATAAGTCAGACAGAGAAAGACAAATACCATATGATCTCACTTATATGTAAAATACAAAGAACAAAATAAATGAACAAATTTAATAAAGATTAAAAAAATGAAAAAAAAAGTGTCAAAAAAACCACAGGGCACAATAAAAAGATGAAGAAATGGCCACATGACATTACTATCTTATACCTAGATACCACTTAATAGGTTCTAGGCAGTATTATAGGTGTTTCATATATTTAAACTCATTTAGTGCTCACAACTGCCCTGAGAGTTAGGTATGGTTATTACAGAAGAGAAAACCACACATCTCTTGTCTAAGGCCATCCAATTAGTAAGTTGCCAATCCAGGAACTGAATTCACTTGTATGGCTCCCAAGCTGATATTCTTAACCTCTGGGATATAACCTGTGACAGATGGCTAAGGTTTAATAATCATTGCTAAATGAGCTGAAGTATGGGTTCCTGACTATTGTCTCAGTTTCCTTACCTGAAATTGGAAAGAATGATAGTTTTACTTGGTAGAATTGTGTCAGGTATAACTGAGAAGATTAAATGAAATGCATATCACGGTATAGCTTAGAAGATTAAAACTACTTATTAGACATCCTTCCTATTTGGGTTTGGAATAATTACCTTAGAGCAATATCAGAATCTGGAAAACAGCATTCTCTTGGTGACTATGATCCGTCATATAATTCTGTATCTGGATCCCCCCCATTTTGGATAAATTTACCAGAGAGTCAGTCAGCTTAGCTTATACTCCTTTAGCCAGTCAACTCCGACTCACCCTACAGACAGAATTGAACAAGTTTCAGGTACTTACCTTAATGCTGCAGGCTGTTGGCTAAAGTTGGATTCACTGAATGGCTTCCCTTAGGGAAGTTCTAATACAAATGTTGAACTCAGAGATATGGAGTCTTTATAGACATCCCTGGGATCCCGTGTATTACCAAAACTAGAAGATTACTCAAACCTTATTTCTTCAGGAAACACATGATAAATAATGTGTGGAAATTTTGCTTTGCCTTTTGACCTCTGTACCCTAGCTAATAATTATTAAAAGAAGATGACCAGACTCCAAAGCACAAATTGTTGGTAAGAATTTACCAAATTGTTTAAGTAAGACAATGTAGGTTCAAAGAACAATGATCAACTTGAGCTACTCTGAGCAAAACCAAAATGTTTTATTTATGTGTTAAAAAGAAACAGGTCATAGGAGGAGGCACTTGTGCCAAGCTCCACCAAGACGTGGCACCTAGACTGCAGTTTCAGCCTCTCCCAGGACTGGAACTTTAAACCAATCATTCTGGAGTTTCCAGGTCAGCACTGATGAGATCAAGTGCCCCACAAGACCCTCTGACTTCCCCTAGGGGAAGGCGGCCTTGACTGAAATAATTTGCTCTTTTAACTTTCTTGTCCTGTTCTGTTTGTGCCTATAAAAACCTTCTGTTTTGTATAAGTCCTTGGAAAACCTTTCTATTTACTAGATGGGATGCTTCCCAATTCATGAATTGTTCAATAAAGCCAATTAGATCTTTAAATTTACTTGGTTGGATTTTTTTTAACGTAAATAACACTATAGAGACGTGTATTCTCAAATACAGAAATGTAGATTAAAACCAGGGAAAAGGATAGACTCTAAAAATGGAAAGTTGCCCGGGACTCAGAGATCACTTTTTCTCCATGCTTTGTTTTCTCCATGCAGTGGCATTAAACACAGTCACAGTGCGGTGCAACCATCACCGTTATCTATGCCCCAAAGCTTCATTACCCCCAACATGAACTTTGTTCCCAATAAACAATAGCATGCCATTACCCCTGCCCACTAGCTCCTGGAAAACTTTATTTTTTACTTTCAGTCTCTGAATTTGCCTATTTTAGGTATGACATATAAGTGCAATCATGTCATATTTTTTCTTCTGTGTGTGGCTTGTTTCACTTAATATAATGTTCTCAAGCTCCATTCATGTTGTAACATATATCTAAATTTCATTCTTTTTGTGGCCATATAATATTCCATTGTATGTTTACACCACATTTTGTTTATCCCGTCATCTGTTGATGGACAGTTGGTTTTTTTGCACATTTTGGCTATTGTGAATAAGGCTGCTATGAACATAGCGTACAAATATCTGTTTGATTTTCTGCTTTCAATTTTTTGGAGTGTATCTCTCAGAGTGTGATTGATGGGTATTATGATAGTTCTATTTAACTTTTTCCCAGTTTTATTGAGGTATAATTGACTTACAGCACTGTATATGTTTAAGGTATACAGCATAACGGTTTGACTTACATATATTGTGAAATGACTACCACAATACTTTTAGTTAGCACTCATAATCTCACATAGATACAAAAAGAAAAAGACGTTCTTTCCCTCGTGATGAGAAGCCTTAGGATTCACTTTCTTAACAACTTTCAAATATACCATCTAGCAGTGTTAACTATAATCATCACGTTGTATGTTGCAGCCCAAGTTTTGTACTTTTTGACTGCCTTCATAGAATTCTTCTTTCTCCTACCCCCTGCCTCTGGTGACCACAAATCTAATCTTTTTTTCTATGAGTTTGCTTTTTTTGCTTGTTTTTTGTTGTTGTTGTTGTTGTATATGATCTCACATATAAGTGAGACCATACAGTATTTGTCTTTCTTTGTCTGACTTATTTCACTGAGCATAATGTCCCTGAGATCTATTTATGTTGTCACAAATGGAAAATGGCAGGATTTTCTTCTTTTTTATGGCTGAATAATATTATACTATATTATTATAAATTTATATATATATATATATATATAATACTATAAACAGGGGGTATAGCTATCTCTTTGAAGTAGTGGTTTTGCTCCCCTGACAGGCTGGGTGGGGGTGGGGTGTGGCAGACTAGGCTCTAGGGCTACGCTCTTTGCTTCCTGTTTCATGACCTAAATCAGGCCAACCTGTGCCCCTCTGAGCTCCTTGGTCAGACTGCTCCACTGTCTTGACTGCAGAGGAGCAAAACTGCTTGTCAGGACTACTGCTTGTACATTGCAGGTAGGAACTCAGTCTGCCAAGATCTGAAGTGCTGACTACTGCAAGCACCTCCCCCTACTCCATCAAAACCAGATTCCCAGTTGTTGAGCACCAGAGATTCCCCCACAATCCCCATGGGGCAAGATTAGAGCAGGGCTCCACATTGGGGAAGGGGGGGAGTGGGCACTGGATGTCATCTCTGGGCTCTCTTTTCCTACCGGAGGAACCGTAGGCTCAGGGGAGACCTCTACATGTGGTGCTGCACTGGGCTGGGGTGATGCCTTGTCCACGAACAGTTATAAATTGTTATTCTTTTGAGGGGGAGCAAAGTCAGGAATGACTTATATCTCCATCTTGGTGACATCACTCTCCTTTTAACTTTCTGACAAACTGCCAGACTTGTCCAGAGTGGCTGTACTATTTTACATTCCTACCAGCAAAGTGCAAGGATTCTAATTTCTCCACTAAAATAAAAAACAAAAACAAAAAAACGACTATAGCCATCCTAGTAATATAGGGAAAGGGCATAAGGACGATTTTTACAAAAGAAGAAACTAGAAGTTTGGATTCCAAGCCTACTGCCTACGTGCTCCAAGACACAGAGCTCAGGAAGACGTTAATCAGCCACACAGAATAAACCATCCAAAGGCTATTAAGCAAAGAGGTTCCGTTATGGCCATTCCTATAGTTAAGCCTACCACAAACAAGCCACAGGTTATGCCTTACAAAAGTTAAAGACAAACCTGCCCCTATTCTTGCATCTTACAGAAGTTAAAGATAAACTTACCGTTGTTCTTTTTCAGTCCTTTCCCCCATTCCAAGAAATATTCCATAGAAGCAAGAAAACACATATAAACCCTAGCCCAGGGGATGGAGGGGGGGGTCTCTCTTCCACTTGTGATTGGAGACTGTCACTCAGTCTGTGGGGTGGCCTGTCCTTTCCTTTCTTACTTACTCTCCACGAAATAAACTTACTTTCACTTTATATCAGCTCATGTTTGAGTTCTTCCTGTGTGAAAACAAGAACCTTCTTAGCTTAGGGTTTGAGTCCCCACTCTGGGAGATTCGATCCACAGGCATCACTAGTAGGTATGAAATGTTATTTCCTCGTGGTTTTGATTTGCATTTCCATAATGACTAATGATGTTGAGCGTCTTTTCATGTGTTTATTCGTCATTTATACAGACTGGCTTCTGAATCATAGCTCTAAATTTTTACATTTTTGCTATTCAAGAGACCACCTCAGACGGAGAATTAAATTTCCTAAGGCCACGACTCCAAACTCCTGAGTGTAATCTCTAAAGGGACCAGCCAAATGCCCCCTGCTGGCCCAGTGAATTATGACAAGTCTTACCGTTCAACTATGGTAGCAGATCCCACACCATGGTACAGCAAGTATGGGAGAGAGAAAGAAGTTAACAGAGAAGAAGACATTATTTTGATCTGGAAATAAGTACCAAAAACAATTGGAATTTTTCTTTTATTTATTTTATCTCACTTCAATTAGAGTAAAACCACTGAATGCAATAATCAACGAAATACCTCAATAAATTAAAAAAAATATACGTGCCGACTCTCTCTCCTGCAGAAAGCAGTGTGTTCAGCTTGACTTGTTCCACTTTTCATTTTCAGGTGGGCATGGAGAACATTTGGGAGTGTTCAGTCTTTTTTCTTATTAGTGTTATAAGTTAAGCATGTCTTTATTCTGCCAGAGCCCAATTAGTCCATCCCCTTTGGAGAGAAAGATAAGGGAACTGCTCATCTTTGTAATTCCTAACACTTTATGTTTCTCTTCCTCAATTTTTAAGTAACATTCTCTAGGGTAGGAGGTGGAATTTTGAGGCAACACTTTTGAAAGAATAAAGACAGCATTGGCCTGTTGGTGGCTGGGCATGGAGAGTTAGTGGGAAAGCTTCAGTAAGTTGAGAAGTGCATCACTTTTTTCAGTAAAGTAAAAAGCATCACTTCTCATAGAAACTTCCCTTACTTATCTGACATTTCCACAAGGGAGTGACAAGACAGACAAAGTAAGGGCCTCAAAACAGTCTCTAAAGATGATGTCACATATAGCTCAGGATATTACACATCCTAAAGATTAAGAGATGATGGCTGGAGGCTCAGAGACTAGGTTCAAGTTACAGTTCTCTCTCTTGCTAGCTATGTGACCCAAGGTAAGACACTTAAACTCTGAGCCTCAGTGTCCTCATATGTAAATGGGGTAATGATATCAACTTATAAGAATGTTGTCACGATCAAATGAAATGAAATATGCAAAGTTTCTAGCATATAGAAAGTGCTCAAAAAATGGTTGTTTAATGATGATGTTGTTATAATAGATATTTAATAAGTATTAGCATCTTTCTATCCCCACTAAACCCCAAGTTCTTTCTTAGTGGCCATGATGAGTGATAGAATCTTGATCATGTCAGGTTTCAGAAGCCTAAGGTACCCTCAGTTAATTAATTTATCCACCTACATTTCTACTCATTCAACAAATAAATTTTAAGTCCTGGCTGATGTCAGATACTATGTTTGGCTTTGGGGATACCAAGGTGAATAAAAGATAGTCTTTGGGATCAAACAGCTGACCATCTCATGGGCTGGCTGGCCATATTTCTGTTTCTCTCCTCAATTTTCACAACAGAGTATTTTTTTTTTGTGCTTGTCCTACTACCTTCCAGCTGTTTTTACCTAATTTCCACCATTGACTCTTCACAGTCTATGGAAATTCCAATGATGGGATTTGTAGGTCTCTCTCCTAAGGTCTACTTTCTTAATTTTCATCCTCTTCTTAGGGTGAATCGACTTCATGGATTCAATAATGAGTATTGCCAACATTTACAGTTCTTCGCTTCTTTTTCTCCTTGACTGCTAGACTATAGTAAATAACTACATAACAGACATTTCCACTTGTATGTCCCACAGACACCTCAGCCAAACATATCCAGAATTGAGCTCAGCACCTTCTTCTCACATCTGATTATCC